CTGCTGTACCCCGTCGGGTATTGGCACCCCGCGGCGCAGCAGCGGATGTACGGTGGCATGCTGACGAACATGAGGGGCAGCCACGTGTACTGGTGCGTGTTCCAGCTGTCGGTGCTGTGCGTGGTGGGCCTGGTTGCGGCTGTGCACTCGCCCGTGGGAGGCTGCCACGTTCAGTACTTCTGCATGGCGGCTGTACTGCTTGCGGGCGCGGGCGTGGTTGCCTTCACGAACATGATGCGCTCGGCCTTTCTGACGGTGATGCAGACTGCGAGCTTTGTGCTCCTTGCGGCGCTGTGCCTGGTGAGCGCGGCCAAACATCTTGCGCCGAGCGACGGCGGTGCGAGGGCGTACGTGGCTATCGTGCTGCTGCTGACGACTGTGCTGCTTGCGGCCACTGTGTACAGCGTCGTTGTGTGGTACGCGGAGGACCGCCACTGGCAGGAGCTGCGCGAGCCGCGGCGTGGTGGGCTGGAGGCGCTGCTGTGCGATGACGAGCATGGCGACGAAGAGACGCAGAAGCCGCAGGACGTGACGTCATCGTCGCACGCCTCAGGCACCACCGTTGCGTCGTCGTACCGACCACCTGCGGTGTTGTTGCAGCCCATGGCCGGTGACACCCGCTCAGACGCCTTGAGCCTGTTCGACCGCGCATCCAATGCAGGATGCAAGGTTGATTGTTTCACGCCGGAGAAGTACTGAATTTGTGCTGCTCAAGAAAGTTGGCGCAGTTTCTTCTCGAGTTGGTAGGTGTCTGCCCAAACAGTACCTCCACGTGGCGAGAAGGTACGAAGCTCCTCATGGATGCGGTATAACGTAGACGCTTTTGGCAATATATATATATATATATCATTATTACTTATAGAATGCTTGGTTGGTTGAGTTGTTTTTACTTTATCGATTTTGGCAACAACGGATTATCGAGGTATCGCGCTAGCCCGGGGCGTCTGTGTCACGGGTGTGTGTTGCACGCTTTCTCCGGGGGCCGGGGTTCTTATTCCGATTTTTACTCAGTAATGAGAGCGTGTTCTGCGATGGCGGCTGCTTTGCGGGTCATCGAATTTGAAAAAAAATAGGGGTAAAAAACCGACAACTTTCTTCTGTGGCTTTCACTAAATGAAATTAGGACGTGTGCGTTGCTTGTCGATGAGGGAGGGCGTGGGGCCGCTGCTGCTGCGCACCACAGCCACCCATCGGTCTCTGCAACGGCATTGTTGCTGTTTTCCTGTGCATTGTTTCTATTCTTGTGCGGGTGCCTGCAGTGACTCTCCCCTGTCCCACGATGACTGTGTGGGAGGGCATGCCTGTCGCTTTTTGTACTTCTGATGTTGTGTAGAACAAGCAACAAGTGGAAGAACGAAGAATTATGTGGAATGGTGTATTACTTTGTGTATGTATATATATACCGATGTGTTTCTGTGGATTGTTTCATTATTTCTTCCTTCTCTCCTCTTTTTTTTTTACGTCGCTCCACACGTGTCTCAGTGTTCGCTTTAGTACGGCCACACACGGGTAGCTTGAGTCGCAGATGTTTTTTCTTTTTGATGTTATTTCCTGTGAGACGCTAATGCGGCCACGTTCGTCAAGCGTCTACTCTCCACAGCATGTTGCCTGGTATTTTGCAGTCATCCCAGACGTAACGCAGACACCACCGCCGTTGCACGCATGGGGAGTAAGATGGAACGCAGGACAGAGGAGGATATTGTGCTGCACATGTGTCTGTTGCATTTGTTCTGTTGAGGAGGTTTCACTCAAAAGAAGAGGGATGAACACTGCACGGATCCGTGGATTGGAGGAGTTATTACCTTTTATTATTTTCTTTGTATGATCTCTGGTTTCCACCCGTGTCTGCTCCGATTGTGCTTCCCCTGAGTGGAGCTGCGCCATGGCCATCGTTTTTGATGTTTGCAGGAGGAAAAACACATTGCGGGTGACGAAACCACACGTCATGTATGCGGCGTCCAGGGAGGTACGTATTTGAGGTGGAGTGCACACATGTGGATCTCATGTGGGAAGGAACGGGGGTTGACTGCCCAACCGTCGCTCCTTTTCTGGAGAGTGTGCTCTTCCTTTTTCCGTTGCCCCTTTTGTGCCAGGGGATGGAGGGATTGGGCAGCACCGTCCCACGAAAGGTCTTGCACACGTACACACTCTCATGCCACTGTTGCCCAGAAGTGGGGTGCAAATCGAAATCCAGCTGTTTTTTTTTTGTGTTGGCGCAATTACTTGTTTATTTATTATTAACTGACAACATTCTGTCCGGCGTGCTGCTTCGATTGGATTGTGTGGGATTGCTCTCTAGCGCCATCGGACAAAACAGGCTGACGACTTTTTTCTGCTCGTACCAGTCGTAGTAACTACACCTCCAATGTGCAGCTCTGGTAAGCGTACGATGGAATACAGCAGCAAGGATAACCTTACCCTGCGGGCAGCCATTACAACTGGCTGCATCATGTGCCCTTCCGGCCCGTAAAACCAAGTAACAAGTACTCATCGGGCTTGAAGCGTGGACAGCAGGCACTTAGCCTCCTCTCTGGCAAAGAGTACTAGACCCTGGCACCACGTTGAGGTGGCCGGCTGAGCCAGAGGGCTGATGATTTTGTGTGTTTAAATGCCATCTTGTGCGCACGTGTTTTTTACTTGTTCTGTTGATGTGCACTCAAACAGCGAGGGATCCGGAACCATGCGTGCGTGTAATTTGTCCTGCCATGTGAGCTGCGGGCAACACCGAGGGGCTGTCACTTTTACTCCGCAGAGTTGTTGTGTCTCTTTGTAGGGTTGGCAGGTAAATTGCATGCGGCCTGCTATTGCTGGTGTGTTCAAATGCCACTCCATGCGAATACTGTGCTTCAGCGAGTGAGGGGGATGACTGGGTTTGTGTGCACTCTGATTCTGTTTGCTGCTTTTTGCGGGCATGCAACACTTGAGTGGTGGGAAAATGGAGCGGGGCGATGCCTGGCCGCGTCTCGCCCAACGTTCAGTGCACGATGGTGCGGTGCACATTGTGGTGCTTCCTATGCGATGTGACTGCGGTCTCCTGTGCGGCGATGGCGGTGGGTGGAGGAGAGTGTTGGCCCGCGGCGGGACGGTGGGATCGTGCCTTCGTTTTTCCCTCCCTTCCTTCTGTGAAGGCGTGCACTTATTTTTATTGTCAGGAATAGGGCAAATAGAGAGGCCACTTGAATAAATAAAAATTGCGATAATGTGGCGGTGTTGTTGCCGATTGCACGTTGCGTTGCTGCGGGGGCTGTGGACCTCGACTGCTTCGCCGACATGCTTTGCAGTGCGGCTGCGTGGCGCACCGACCACTCCGCCGTGCGAGTGCCGCGCGCAACGCCACTGGGACTGCGGGACGAAGCAGCCGCGACTGTCCTTTGGAGCCAGCGGCACCTGTTGGCCGCAGTTGGGCGGTGCGAGTGGGATGCTTCGCCGCACGGGTGTTGTGGTGGCGCCTCGCAGCGGCTCTGGTGATGGTTCCGACGCTGCGACTCGACATGTGGCGGGGAGTAAAGGGCGACCGCAGCGGACTGTTGACAGTCGGGTGGAAGATGTACTGCTAGACGGATACACTCTCAGCACCAAAATGAGGCTCAATGATTTCCTTTGGAGTTATGTTGGCTCCATAGCGGTCGTTGGTGAAAGATACAATGTGACGATGGAGGTGTTTGCTCAGTGTCCCGAGATGTATATCCGAGGCGAAAGGTGGTTACGCATAATAACGGCATTGCCGTCATACCAAGAGCTGGATGGGAGGAAAAGACTATTGGAGGCTAGAGACAAACTTGAGGAAGGCGTGTTCTTTCCTCATCAGTGGAGAGGCTTCGAATGGAAGGATCCGGTCACTTCTCTTGCAATGGGAAACTCGATGCAGCTCCTGACGTGGTACAGCGAGACTTGGAGCAGCGAAAAAATTTACCGTATCCACTAATATCAAAGATGTACTGTTTGAAGGGAGGTTTTGCTACAAGGAAATGAAGCTGCATGATGTTCTTACGACGGAATTGGACGGCAGGGGCGTTGCGGACAACAATGGGAATGTCTTGCTGGAGGAGTTTTTCAGGGGACCCTGCGAGGCATATCCACGGTGCGGGGGCATTGAACGAAATAAAGACATCGGATTGCTACGTGAGGATGGAGAGGGCTGTAAGGGATGGGATGGATTTGGAGGAAGGTGTACGCAGGATTCATGGTCATTGTGTGGACAATCTACTGACGCGTTGAGAAGCTGCTGCAGCAGTAAAAGCAACTGTCCATGAAGTCACCAAACAGTTTTGGATGCAGCCGCCGAGGGGGCGAGGAACCCAAAGAAGTCGAGCGCACCGATAAAACTGAGGGGACTGTGCGCGTCTGTGTACGGTGCGAGGTGGCATCATTTTGTGGAAGTTCCTGGCGGCGAGGGGACGGGAATGGATGTGAGGGAGGGGGAACCACCGCAGTAATGGACGTGCAGGGCAGTTGGCGACACTCTCGAAAAGAATGACGATGTGGAGCAATCCGGTGCAGCAAGTCTCAGGCTGCTGGTGCTCACCTCGGACAAGGGATGGCCGTACTCTTTAGGTGGGTGGGGAGTAATCCACTCGTGACTGCCATGTGAACTGTGAGGTGGAGCGAGTGTGGCAGATCGTCAGGGGGCGATCTCACCGAGTGGTTCAACAGTCTTCCTGGGGTCTACTTTACGCCTGGGCGACGTGTGTTGATTGGGATGCCCGATATCGGGAAGACGATGGCTGCCGGCTCATACCTCCTCTACCAGCTGCTGCACTACGATGTCAAGAAACTCCAAGTGGTTGCGTACAGTTTTGGTGGAAGCACGACGTATGTGTTTGACAAGACCACCAAGACGGTGACAAGGTACGTGGGTAAAAAATATCCCAGGACTTTTTGTATGATTTGTGGCATTTGAAGATGAAGGGGGTACATTATCTACGATGTGACAGAGAAAGGAACACCGCCAGAGAAAGGTTCTGCGGTTTTTGATGAATGGGCATGATTGTGGTGGCATCCCCAAACGTGCGCAACTATGGTGAATGGAAGACGCAAGCAAACGCCGAGCGAATCATCGTGAATTGCTCCGACGGGATGGATGTGAAGGCGGTGTGCGCCTGGATGAATCGCGATGGGACTACTGATGAGCAAGCGGAATACTGGAGGATGGTCAAAGGACGCCATGGGATAAAGTGGGGCCGATTCCACGTTACATCTTTGATGCGAAGAAGTCATTGCACACTCTGCTGCCACTGAGGAATCCTTGGATGGGGTCCAGTCTCGGGATGGTGAAAGGCACTTTGTACCTCGTGGACTGAGACTGTGGTATTCTGAGAATCCGTCTCAAAAGCTCGTGAGGGTTGTCCGAGCAAGAGGAGAGGTCGGTGCTGAGGGGTTTCTTAACGCACCGATATCGCTTTGCCTCGGGCGTCGAATAACGCACTATTTTGGGAAACGTGATGAGTGAGAAAGATATTTTTTTTTTGTTGCTGGTATTGGGGAAGAGGAATACTCTTTTGTCTGAATGTACGGGAGGGTTTGGCTTGCGAGTGTTCATTTTTTGGGGGAGTTTGCCAGTGCATTAGTAGAGGACCTTGAGCTGAAGCCATCAGCAAGTTGTGGAGGACAGTACGCAGTGCCAACGTTAAACCTCAAGGGCACCCCAACGATTCATATGGATTGGTTTCATTGAAGAATTCTTCTGAGAGGGAAAATTTGAAGTATCGGCTGCTGTGCACACCGGCGGTTGGGAACTTTCCACTGGTGGACCCCTTTTTTTCTTTGTGGAGTCACGACGGAAGACGCTGGTCGGGCTGCGGATGGCTACGGTGGGTGGGCATCACACGATAACCAGCACTGTGAGGCAGTTCACTGAGTGCCTGGCGGCATATTTTAATGGTTGGGAGGAATTATCCCGAGACATGTCGTGGGAGATGATTTACGTGCAGCACGTCGATGAATGACTGGCAGAGATGTGGTGTCGACAATTCCGATAATGTGAGCGACGATGAACACTATGAAATTGCGGAGTTCTGGAAAACCACACATCAGTACCAAGTGTCAATATCGAAAGAAGTTTTATAAAATGTCGTAGGAGTTTTAACTTCGTGAAGCAAAAAGATTAGACGAGAAGATTGAAGAAATGACTGAGGAGGTTAGCGCAGTGCGTTTATGATGGATTATGTTCGGGGGTGTTTTTACGGCTTTTATATTTGTGTGTGTCTGCAGGGTTAGGTCAGAGAATGTCTTTCTTTTTTTCAGGGAATCATTGCGGTCAACAGTGTCGCACCACTACAATCATTTTTTATTTTATTTCGTTTTTACTTCTGTGAAGGCTCCGTCGTTTCTGGAGGCTTTTGCGAGACGTGGGGGCCGCACAATTTCCCTTTATTTTTATGGGAGTTTGTGAGAAGAATGCCTGCGAGGATGGCTGGCTGCCCAAATGAATTTATCTGTTGATGGAACGGAGATGTCTCTGCGGGATTTCTTCCTCTTTTATCGTACGGTCTTTTGGAAGACCGCGATTGAGGGAGTCAGGGAGCCGACAGCTGTAAGACGCAATTATTTTTTCCTTTTCTTTATTTTTTTATTTTTTTGTTTCACAGCCGTGCCATGTTCTTGCATGTTTATGTGGAGTAATGGCAGTGACTTTTTTACACGGCGACGGAGTGCAGCGACATCGTGGCCCGGGTGTTGGACCTGGTACGCCAGCATGGCGATGCCCATGTGCAGCTTCCCTTCATTGATGAACACGGGCCGTTGGATGCGGTGGTAACCGTCGATGCAACCATGACATGTTTGCGATTGATTTCAGCAAAGATCGCCAAGCAGTTGGAGGGCTCGGCCGTTGCGGGGCACTTTTCGAATCGCCGGGCGTTTCAAGTACCAAATTTCGATGCTCAAGTGCTCCTGCCCATCGTGTGGGGGCGGCCCGGGAGTTGGGGGCAAGCAAGGGCTCGTCATTGCGGAAAGGCAGATATTAGGCTTGGAATACACCCACGCCATTGCGGACGTACAGAATTGGACTGCTCAGATTTACTTTCAGACGGAAGAGGCGCTCAACTACTGCTTTGCACGTGAAACTAACATTTCGGTGGTTGGCGGCCTTTTTGCGGAAGGCGGAGACGCCGTGTCAACGAGAGGCGCCCACCTCTCGGAGAGGGCCGCCAGATGGCCCCACGCATGCACGGCGATGGCGGAAATACACAGCCAAATCAACCGCATCGTTTGATGGCCTGGGCGTGTCAGCATCCGCGTTTCCCCAACCCAATCTTGCGGGGGAGAGACGGCTGGTCAGCACTAAGATGTCTTAGGGCAATGTTGGGAGATCCTATTTTTCTTTTTTGTTGCCGTTGCCCCCCACCGTCCACTTGGAAGAGGATTCCGGTTCAGAAGGTCGGGTGCTGCATTTTCTTGCGTTGGACGTCACCACCTGTGCTCCGCGTGTATGGAATGAGGGCATCTCCGAAGTCGTCGCTTGCCTCCGGAGCGCATACAGTTATGACTATTGGCACCAGGCGGACGCTCAGGCTCAGCCTGCCTTTGAAGGTTTGGTATCGCGCAGGCGCACGTTGGAGAAAGAACGGGATCCTGCCGATCGTTTCATGGATTTGTTGAGTGCCCTACTGCAGACCTTCCAGTTGCAGATGATGACTACTGAGTCCAGCGTCCCGATCTCCGAACTGCGCGCCCGCCCACGCACGCAACAGCAACGATCGTTGCGATGCCGATTGTGTCGTATTTGTGGACGCGATGCATCCATGTGCAGCGTACACAGCACGACCAGAAGGAATCGCTTGCAGCGCAGACGGCCGTCAAAAACGGCAGAGGGGCTGCCAGCCGCTTGTGGGAGCGGAAGACGGCAGCCCCATTCATTCCACCACCTCCCACCAATCCCCACAGGCGTCGCACCGCGCCGCCGATGCTCCACCCGATATTACAAATTGCCCGACGCAATCATCGAGAAGGGCAAAGGAGCTTATCCGCCAACGATGCTCGACTGTGGTACGACGAATTACCGACATCCCCGCTTTGGGCCAGCTATGCGAGGAGAGCAAACGAGGTGGCTCGGGTAATGTGGGCGTCGTCAAAGTGGGAGCAGAGAATGTCTCTAGCTGGGCAATTCACGACTTTTTGCCGCACGCACGAACTGCCGATGAACGAGGAGACCTGCGCGGCCTTTTTGATGGCAATCGAAGTGGCGCCATCGACCCGACTGCAGTACGCCAGGATGCTGCGGTCCATTTTGGAAATGAATCGAACCCCGCTGGACATGATGATTCTGGGGATACAAAAAATTGCGGCGCGATGGGAGACGAAGCAGGCGCGCCCCTTAACAGAGGAAGAGATGAATCAAGTTATCCGCAGCCGGACCGATTGGAGGGAACGTGTTGTTTTTCGACTTGCGTGGATAACGGCGAGTCGTTTGTTTGGGATTGCATCCTTGACATCCAACAATTTTACACTGGAGCCGGACGGGACCTTAATTTTGGATTGGTCCGTGGCGCCGAAGACGGCGAGGGCGGATCCCCACCGCGCCTTTCGGTCCGTGAGGATACGAGGGCAGGATGCGTTCGACACTATAAAGCTATGCAGGACACTTCAAGAGAACGAAAAGCTCACGAATATTACTAATGCCAAAGTCGAACGAGCTTTGGCTCCTTGGGGTGCCACGGCGCATTCCATAAAACGGGGTGTGTTGAGACACGCTGCTGAAATCGTGGAGACGTACAATTTGGACCCACACGTGATCTCGCAGTTGGCGAAGCACGTCAATCCGTTCGAAATTCCCCAGAATACAGTTCGATATTTGAGGAAGTACACCACAATGCTGACCCAGGTGTCGTCGCTGGTCGCATTGATGTGAAGGGAGAGACTGCGGAAGGGCAGTAACCCTGGTTGAAAGCAGAGGAGCATTTTTCCATGATTTTTATCGCCATCGCGCCAAAACGATAAGGACGCGCGACAAGGACGCGTCTGACCACTCCACAAGATGAACACACTATCCCGTTACAGCAAGTCAACGTGACCGTATTGAATACCAAAGTGGATCATGAGTCGGTTGAACCCGACTACCTTGGAGAGTCTCATGCAAGTTTGGGGACTCGTCGGGCGGTCCCCTTTCCCTCCGTCTTCCTCCGGTAAAGCGCGCGAAGGCTCACGGAGGATTCCGACCGATGAAGCGCGACTATTGAGGGAAGCGGGAATAGTCGAGGACGCTTTGTCCACAATAACAGGCGGATGGATAATGCCCCTTTCTTAGTTGTGGAGGAGAAAACCACCGGTTTACGACGACGATGGATCGCGTGGCCGCGCGAAAAGAACAGAGACGACCCTTATGAGGCGAATGTTCCTCTTTTGCACATTTCCCATTATTTGCTGCCTGTGATGGCTGAGGCCGCTTCCTGCCTGGAATTGAAGGCATCCTTTTTTCAAGTCTCTTTACCGCGGGAGACTCGGCATCTCTTTTGATACCGCGTGGAGGACGGCACGCTGGTGGAGCTGACACGGCTCCCAATGGGATACAAGGCCAGCCCAGAAATTCTCCGGATTATTATTGCTTCGGCAATTGCGGTGGTGACGACGGTGGTTCACCCCCTCTGGCTGCACCTCCATTGGTGCGTATCGACGTTTGGATCGGTAATATACGCATTGCAGGGCCGAAAAGCGATGCGACATTGTGGGAAGCCAAAGTGCTTCGTAATGCGGACAGTTGTCACGCCACGATGGGGAGGATTGCGAATCGGGTACTGCGCAGTACACCTTTCTGGGGGTGCCGTTTGATTACACTCACCGGGCGGTGTCCCTGAGTGACAAGTTTGTCTGGTCTGCATGCGCCATGCCGGCACCCAATTCTTTAACCATCGCAGAAATGGAGGTTACGGCGTCACGATTTTTATATGCGGCGGCCATTTTGGGCACGCGTTTATGCGACTACTACTTTTTCATCACGGCAGTGCGACGGCGATTATCCGCACTTAACCGGGGAATCGTGCAGGAGACATCCCCGGCGAACCTTCCGCCGTCAGCGGTTGGTTTGGGCGAGAGATTGTGACACATCATCGAGAATAATCATAGGCGAATCATTAAGTCCACTGAAAAGGCATCGGCCGCCATCATCACGGATGCATCGCTCCAGGGATGGGGAGCCGTTTTCATTCCAGACTCCGGCGACGTTATAATTGCCGGAAGGGAATGGGAGAAGAGACCTTTTCTTATCATGCAGGCCGAGGCACGCGCGGTACGCTTGGTCTTATCGTCTTTTTCCGCCATCTTGCCACCCACCACTGACGTTTAGGTGGATAATACTTCGCTGCAGGAGCGGCGAATAAAGGCAGCTCGAAATCGCACGCCATGATGTGGGAGCCGCAACGGATTTATGATTTTTTGGAGTCTCGCGGAATACAGGCATCCTTTGCTTACTTACGGCCAGCGGACAACCCCGCAGACGGTATATCACGCGGTCGTGTTTTTACACTTTAGGAATTGGCGAAGGGGTGGAACTTGCGAAAGGGGGCGGCGGGGTCTTGTGGCTGGAGGACCCCAAAGTGTGCCAATTCGTAAGTATTAAATGTTTTAGATCCTACATGAGTTCAAAAGGCCACGTGAGCGGGTCACGATTGTTGCAATCAGATGATATATATACACTTAATTGGTGTTAAACTTTGAGGGTATGGTGAACTCCCGCTCTTGTTCCATTTACCCCTTTCTTATTCCTACTTGGTTTGGTTTCTATCGTTGGGAATCTCTGGATTTGGCCAGCGGCGCAGGTGAATATATATATATATATATTAAAGTAATCAAAACTTTTGGTTTGCAGTGCTTTGTGGGAGTTCTGCAATTGTACTCATTCCAACCGACTCATTTGTGTGCGCCGCTGCCGCTTGTGCGTGGTTCTGTGACGTGTCTCTCCTTTTTGTTCTGCGTTGACGGGGAGTTAGTTTGTGCTCAAGGCTGCACGCAAGTGACAGGAGTGATGGCGATGATGATGACTGGCCGTGTGCTGCTGGTGTGTGCCCTCTGCGTGCTGTGGTGCGGTGCCGGCGGAGTTGTATACGCGATGGTGGACCGCTGCAGTGAAGGGAACGGGAATTTATTGACGCAAATGAATAATGCTGAAAGTGACGGGGTTTTTCCGAGGGCGGACTGCAGTTTGTTATCCACTCAGATGGGATTAATAAGGGCGGTTGAGGCTGGGGACAAGGAAGGAGCAGAATTGGGTGGTACAGTCACATCGGAAAAGCCCAAGCAATTATTGTCTGGTACGACGTCAAAAGGTAATGATGACGTTTTAACGCCTGGTTCACCAGCACCACTGCCGACACCTAAAGTATCAGATCAAGTTGAACAGGAGAAGCCGTTAAAAACGGTTGATCCAAATGGAATTGACGATACCAGGAATCCCACAAGCGGTAAGGCAACGGAGTCCCAACGCCAAAGCGCTGGTCAATCTTCATCTGGCAGTACTGTCACTCAACCTGGCAAGGATCACAATTGGAATAATCCTTCCGAGAGTAATGCATCCTCCACTGTCAAGCCGACGGATGACGGTGGCGTTAATATTCCTCCTAACATTCCTGAACGAGGGGCGGGAGCATTGGAAAAGGTTAAAGAAGATGAGGATGAAACGAAAAAACCAAAACAAGCAGTACAAGAAGAAGCGGGAGAACACAAAGAAAACAAAAATGATAATTCACCAACAGGGTCACTTGAAAATGCAGCGAAAATGAAAACAATACCACAAGAAACATCACCATCACTAACAAAAGCACCAGCAGAAGTGGCACTGAAAACAATTGGAAAAACAGAGGGAAATTCAACACAAGCACGAGTGAATGGACAGTCGAGCCCTGAAGATACCGTGCCCGTGCAACAGCTACAACAACCCCAAAGCGAAATGAAGTCAAACAACAATTCACAAACTGAGGGCATTGCCCCCATCGCAGCCAATTCGCAGAATGAACCATCTGACGGCCATGCAGAAACAAAGCCACCATCACCCACGGAAAACGGTAATTTCGCCAGTAATGAAGCTGACAAGAGCACTGAAGACAGCACCCCGAAAAATGATCCAGCAGCTGATGGTACAGGAACACGAGAAGAAAAAAAAAATGAAAATAAAGAAGCCAATCCGAAAGAAACAGTGCCAGCCACAAACGCCACAACAGGTGACACGGCGACGCCTGGCGACAGTGACAGCAGCACCGCGGTCTCCCACACCACCTTCCCTCTTTTGCTTCTCCTTGTTGTTGCGTGTGCGGCTGCGGCTGCGGTAGTGGCCGCGTGAGAGTGAGTGAGAGAGCGCCATGCACCGCCCGCACACACACTCGTCTTTCACCCACTCTCTGTGTGTGTCCCCTTGCATGGACTCTCGCCCTCACCTCATTCCACGAAGCACACACATAATGTGCCCATTGTATATATTGCATGCACACCCATGCAGGCCCGTTGGTGCTCTCTTTTGCACGACACGCACCGCTGCCGTCCTGCCTGGCTGCATGGGCGGAGCACTGTAACTGTTTCTGTTTTGTTTTTATTGCATTGAGTGGGCGACCTCTCTCTCTCTCTCCCCCTGTGTGTGTGTTTTGCTTTACGGGAGCAATGAGAGTGTGTACGCTGGTCGTCCCACGCTTCGGCTTTTTGTTTTGTTTTTCATTGTTTTGTGGTTGAGAGCACCCATTCCGCGGGCTGCGTGTGTGTGTGTGTTTGTGTGTGATGATATGAGTAATTTGTGCGTGTGTGCTATCTGCCTCTCTCTGCCGTTGCTTTCTTCTGACTCTCTTGTGGCGCACAGCTGCTCTGCAATTATAGGCGCTGCCAAACACACAAGCACATGCACACACACACTCTGTGTCGGTTACGCTGTGGAGGGATTTGTTTGCTGAGGACGCACACACGCACCGAATTCTGTCTGCGGCTGCCCTTGCGAGAAGGGAGGACGGGAGACCGCGATGTGTCTTGTCGACGTGTTGCGGGCGTGAATTTGGCGGCATGCAGGCAGGTGGGTGGTGTGGGTGTTGAGGGTGCCTGGGACGAGTGCGGATTGCTTCCCTTTCGGCGGCTGCACGTGCCGAAGCTTCTCCCATGCTGTGGATCCGTCGACGGGGGATCCTCCGGCTGTGCGGGGTGGTGTGTGCCGGTGGCGGAGCGGGAGCGCTGGAGGAGACAGCATCAAAAGGACTGGCGGCAGCGCATGGGCGCGGCGAAGGGCGGCTGTGCCCTTTTGCATCACGTTGGTTTATTTGTGTTTGGGTGTTGCTTGGTGTGTGCCGACGCGTGACGAACGCCTCAACCGCTGTGGCTCCTGCTTCTGGTGGTGGTAACAGTTGCTGTGTTCCCGGTGCACTGTTTTTTCTCCTTGTTCCGTGTGTCTGTGTGCGTGAGTTGTTGTTGTTTTTGTTATTGACTGCGGCGGGGATGATGGCGCCACTCACTGTGGATGCTGGCAGTGCTTACTGTTTCACCCTTTTGTTGGCAGTTTTTTTCTTTACTTCTCACTCACACACGAAGAAGGAAAACAAGCGCGAATTGCTACTGTGAAGTTCGAAGGCACTGAAAGGACCAATAGCACCCACACACACACACATTTGTATGCTCTCACGCGTTGCTGCTGTCATGGCGCCCCGCACACACAACCGTCGCCGCGTGACCGGATCCAGCGGAAGGAGGAGGGAAGGAAGAGAGAGTGAGCCGCCGAGGCCCAACATGTCCCGGGATCTCTTCCATTTTGTGCTGCTTCTACTTGTCGTCATGGTTTGCGGCGGCAGTGGAACTGTGACTGCGGATGAGGTGAAGGAGTCAGTTGAACCAAAGTTTGAGTGGAAGGGCATCACTGAGGGTGCTGGTGTAACTGTGGACTCGTTGGGCGCTCCCGGCCTTCTAAAAGTGGGGAGTGACGTGTTTGCCGTTGCCGAGGCGCAGTGCAAAGAGACGAAGGAAGGTAAAGATAACTTTTTTTCTGGCGTTGCATCCCAAGTTCTCACGAAAGATAATGCTGACACACCGGTGGAAGTGCTGAATGAAGTGAAAGAGACACAATTTTTGGAGAAAGCCCCTTCCACAGAGTTGAAGAAAGTGGATTTGAGCCGACCAACAACAGTTGTGGAGGGAAATGATATTTACATGCTTGTTGGAAAATACAGCCGGAAAGCTGCCACTGGTGCTGGAGAGAGTGGGGCTGATGACTCGGGGCTTTTGCTGGTGAAAGGGGAAGTCGGTGTTGACGAAAGCAGCAAAGGAATCCAGTGGAAGGATACCAAAGGTCTCCCGCGGACACCCTTCTGCGAGCAACACGAATTTTTAACAGGGCTGGTTGGCGGCGGTGGATCGGGTGTTAAGATAAAGGACGGTACGCTTGTGTTCCCAGTGGAGGGTACAAAGAAGAAGGAGAATGAGGGGACTGAAGAGGATGAAAAAACCGTTTCTCTGATCATATACACCTTGAGTACTGCGAGTTGGACGCTGTCTAAGTGGATGTCTGCCGATGGCTGCAGTGATCCTTCTATCGTGGAGTGGAAGGACAAACTCATTATGATGACAGCGTGTGACGATGGATGCCGCAGGGTGTACGAGTCCGGTGACAAGGGGGATTCGTGGACGGAGGCACTCGGGACACTCTCGCGCGTGTGGGGCAAAAAACAGGATAAAAAAGTGAAACTCGTTAGAAGCGGGTTCACCACAGCGACGATTGACGGTGTCGATAGTGATAAGAGAACTGTGATGCTCGTTACTCTGCCGGTGTATTCCAAGGAAAATGTGGAAAAGGGTGAACTCCATCTTTGGCTGACGGACAATGCGCACATTGTTGATATTGGGCCGGTATCCGGAGAAGGGGACGATGCTGCCGCCAGTTCCCTGTTGTACGAAAGTGGTAAAGATGGTGGTAATGAGAAGGAGTTGATTGCACTGTACGAGAAGAAGAAGGGCGATGGGAAACCATCACCCGGTATGGTCTCTGTGCTTCTGACTGAGCAGCTGGAGCGGGTGAAGGAGGTGCTGGCGACGTGGAAGGAAGTGGACAAACGTGTCTCCCAGCTGTGCCCGTCTAAAAGTGATGCGGAGCGTGCCTCAACTAGCAGTACCTGCGGCGCTGTAAAGATCACGGATGGGCTGGTTGGCCTTTTGTCTGGCAACTTCTCTGATGGCACATGGAGGGACGAGTACCTCGGGGTGAACGCCACAGTAAGTAATAAAGAAGGGGCGGAGCAGGTGGATAGTGGCGTGAAGTTTACAAGCCGTGGAGTGTGGGCGGAGTGGCCTGTTGGCAGTCAGGGGGAGAATCAGCTGTACCACTTTGCAAACTACAACTTCACTCTTGTGGCGACGGTGTCCATCGACAATGTGCTGGAGGGAGATACCCCCATTTCAGTGATTGGTGTGAAGATGAATGATAATGGGAAGACTGTACTCCTGGGACTGTCGTACAACAACAAAGAGAAGAAATGGATGCTACTGTGTGGTGAGGAAAAGTCTAATGAGCTCAGCAGCCCTTGGAAGCCAGGGAAAACACACCAATTGGCCATTGTGCTGCAGAACGGCAACCAGAGCACCGCGTACGTCGATGGTGAGCGCGTGGGTGAGGATGCGCAATGTGAATTGGAAACTACGGAATCGAACGAGATCTCGCACTTCTACATTGGAGGGGATGGAGGCGATGCAGGAAGCCAAAAAGACGTGTCCGTGACCGTGACGAACGTCCTGCTGTACAACCGTCCGTTGAATGAAGCGGAGGTTTGCGCCCTCAACCCGAATAATGTCCCCATTCCACCTCCGGTAGGTGGAAGTGCGCAAGGAACATTGTTGCAATCTCCTTCTGACGGGCAACCGCCGTTGGGGCGTGAATCGTTGAATGAAAATGAGGGTGTGGGCAGTGGCGATGTATCCCCGTCAGCAGTTTCCACCGCCCCTCCGTTGGCAGGGGAGGGTTCTGTAAAGCAGTTGGCGTTGCGAACATCTCTCGGTGGAAGTAAAAACGTGGATGTCGTTTCTTCACCCGATGGCGATACAACGGTGGGAGCGGAAGCTGGAGATACGGTGCCGGGAGACAGACCACCTCAAACTTCTGCGGGCACTCCCGCCACAGCAGATGCAAACGCTCCTACCGCTGAAACCGTGGGGCATGTTGACCCCGCAGTGACAACTGGGGTGAGCGTGAGCTCCGGTGAGAGTGGGGAGACGGTGGGAGGAAGGGATGGGCACGGAGAGGTCCATTCAGAGGTCAGGGAAGTAAATGCTACGGCGCTCAACAGCAGCCTCGGAAATTTGTCGCAGGGGAATAACAGCGATGCTGGCACTATGCGTGAGAGCGGACTGCTGCCATCGCTTCTTCTGTTGGGACTGTGGGGGCTTGCGGCTCTGTGAGGAGTGACTGGCTGCCGCGTGGGACACTCGCGACCTCCTCCGCACATAATTACTTCTCCCGGGAACTATTTTCTCACCTCAGATAACTTTTTTCTTTTCTTTTATGTGTTTGTGATTTTCATTTTTTTTGCTTCTCAGTACTCTTTTTAATGCTTCACTTTTTTTCCAATTTTTCTGTTTGCTTTTTTGCTTTTTCTCATAACCCCCTCATCCTTCTTTTTTGCTTTTGGGGGCAATCACTATGGACGTTTTTTTCTTTCCTACTCTTCTCTCTTCTTAATTGTTTCATGCAGCGCTCTTCCTGTGAGGGGTGCCGTGTGTTTCCCGCCCAACTGCTCCACTTGCACACCCACCGACACGCTAATGACGACGGCCCTGTGCGCCTCGCCTGCTGCACGCATGAGGAGGGGCCGCGACGAACGGCGCGCTGAGGGAGCCGTGACGTGTGGGCGTGCGACGAGGGCCTGTGGGGCGGAGCACACATTTCTTTCCCTCTTGTTTTGTTTTGTTTTTGCGGTCAGGGCGGGCAGACACCCGCAGCGCCACACACACAGCCACACCCTGCCGCTTTTAAAAAGGAATTTTGTTTTGTTTTTTTCTTTTTGTTTTTGTGGATGGGTGTGTGCTGCCACCGTGTGTGATTGTTGGGGTTGTGCCGTACCGCATGTATCGCTGCCATCCAGCTGTGCCTCTTGCTGCGCTGATGATGTCCTCCCTGTGCTTCTTCTTTTTTTTTTTTTTTTGCTTCTCCAGCGCACACGCACACAGACATAACTAGTTGCACGGTGCTCTGAAAGAATTTGTTGGCGACGGCGGGACGCCTTTTTGCATTCCGCTTGGGGCCGGCTGACGCGGCTGCACGATGCCAGCCGTGCGTGACGGTGTTGCCTGCTCTTGGGGTCGTTTTTATCACCCCTTTTTTTTTGCTTTGCTGTTTTCGGGCGTCGCTTGGTGCGTGCGCTGCTTGGTGTGTGCTGGCGCGTGAAGGACGGTGCCAAAATGACCGCCTCTGACGATGGCAGTCGCTGTGCTCTCGGCACACATCCACACACTCTTTATTGGCTCTCTGTGAGAGTGATTGCAGTTTGCCAGTGCTGCGAGCGTGATGGGGAACACGACGGCGTCACCCCTCGAGAGGGTCCCGCGCTCTGTCGGTTGAGGAGGGGCGAGGCAGTTTGACTGCAGCCCGACTGACAGAACCGCACAGTCGTTTCATTGCTGTCACTCCACCGGTATTACCCGCTGTGGTGGTGTCCGCAAGAGCCGCCGCCCCGATGAGGATGGTCTCGTAGTTTTATGGCAGCTCATACCTTCAGGCCCTTCGCTCTTTAGGATTGCTCTTGCTGTCCGACTGGCGCAGCACCAGCCCGGCATGGTTCTTCTGCAGGAGTGCGGGCACCAGTGTGCCCCAGCGACGAGGCTCGTTGGCTGCCGTGACTTCCACCAGACGTGTAGTGGGCGTGCCGGTGGCGTGGCCTTCGTGGTGCGCCACACCTTGCCGTGCGAGCGCCTATCGCTGCTGGAACCAACTACCTGAAGAACACCGCCTTCCGCGTGTGCCCACCGGTCAGCCCCAGCATGTACGTGGTGAACCTCTGCAGCCTTCCCTGGAAATTGCTCACGCTGCTCACCTTGCGAGCAACATTCTTCGCCTTTGTCTTGCAGCGCCTATCGCAGGCAACCCGAATTTACACCATGAGCTGCGGGACGGTCGATCACCGTCAACAACGGCAGGAGAGGACTTCACCGCCACCCCAAGCGGCATGGAGATTGAGCTGTGCGACGACCCGGCAAAGGCAACGCGTATCAGCGGCCGCCACGTCTTGTTTCCCGATGTGACTGCGCAACGCGTACTGCGTGTCTCCCACTGGACGTCCACCAGTTTACATGGACTTGGACCAACCTCTGGTATTGTAGACTGCAGGGACGGAGGACGGCATCCCGCGACAGGCAGGCATGCTGCCACGACGGAAACATGCCGTCGTTGTCATGCGTGAAACCGACTGGACAGCATTCACTTTGCGTCGGCGTTCATGCACGCTGACGACCGCACGCTTGTTGCGTTGTGTGCGGACGGCCGTGAATGTGCTGCGGCAATGCCAGCTGCCGTGTCCGTTGTGGCCGCATGGACTGCCAAGCACAGCCCGATAATCAGTGCCGACAGGAGCGGGGCCGCTCTGTTCTGCATCGTTTCACACCGACGGTCTGACGAGGACACGGCCGACCATCGTCTGGGCGGTGGGAAGCCACGCGTCAAGTCCCACCCTGTGCGCCTGCTCGGCAATGCGATTGATCGACACCTCAATTATGGTTTGCACGTCACCGCTGCTGCAGGGCAGACCGTGCCACGCCGCCGTCAGCTGCGGCTGGACGCAGGAGCTGGTGCGTCCCAGCACAACATGCGATCCTTTCTCGTTGGGTGCGTCCGCGGTGCGTTGCACCACGGCGACAAGGCAATCGCACCGTGTCCGGCCTCCACTCACCTCCACAGCCTGGAACTGCGGCATGGCGACAGCTGCACAGCATCGCTCGGACCACGCGCAGCAAACAAGGATACTTCTGTCCACCTGGCAGCCAATTCAGCACCGCTGCGGAGGATTGTTGGGTTCCGCGCACCCACACAGCACAAACGCCTCACACTTCTTTGTTATATTGAGGACGTGCGTGGCGCAGTATGCTCGGAAACCACACCTTCGTCAATACCTGGGAAGGCAGCGACGACCATTCCGCTGCCGGGAGATGCCGTATTTGACGGAATGCGACGCGTCCGCAGCCACATGGGGATCTCCCCGGACCGCATCCGCGCCTCTCATGCTGAGCACCGAATTTTAGCCTGGGACACTGTGAGCTGCAGCGGGGTGGCCGTCTTCTAGCCACAGCACGCCCAAGAAGCCCCGGATGGCTCGTCGTCTCTCGCTCAGCATGCATATGGATCCGCTGCAATGCCACTTGACTCCCCGGACAGCCGAGCTCCCTGTGGGGCATCACCGCAGAGCTGCTGGCAGCCTTGCATGCTCCTGCCGAGCGGAGCGTTCTGCCACTGAGCATGGCCACGGACACTTCTCAGTTCCCCGCCTGGCAGCAGCATCCCAATTGCCCACACGAGTTCCTGCCGCCACAGACTCCCTCTCGGCGATGGAGTCACTCCGCCTTGGCCCGCTGGAGGTGCACGACGACGTCACCGAGGAGATTTGTACCGTGCCGCTTTCACAGGCGGATCGAGGTCGTAGAGCTGGCTTCACATTTTCCCCATGACGCTGCGGAATCCCACGCAACGAGACAGCGGACGCGGATACCGTCATGGCACGATCCCTCCCGCAAAACTGCGCCAATGCTTAGCACGTGGACATCCTCACTCCAGTCGGACCAACGTACTAGAGGGATGCCCAGAGGACACAGAAAGGCGCAAACACCGCGTGACAGTCGCCATTCCGTCTGGCGAGGACTGTATTCCCCTTTCCGATTCGGACATTGAGCCCCGAATGACAACCGTGCCCACCGGCAGGACACGACCAATAACCACTTTCCGACAGGATTGCAAGCGCCCTGCACACCACAAGCAGCCCCTGTGTCGGTCGTACCACCCATCTTTCACCAACGACACCGACCGTTGCATCGCCTATAGTGGTCTAAATTTTTGTTTCCGATTGTGAATGGTGGGAGTCAAAGACACTCTCTGTCAATATCTGTTTGCGTGTTCACACACTGGACACCAAACAACCCTGAATTATCCGCTGCTTGGAGGAATTTCGCGAGCTCTTGCCCACACGGGTGCTGCACTCGGCTGATCGTTTTCGAGCGGCTGCTGCATCACACGTTGTGGTCCAAATTTTTGTTTCCGATTGTGAATGGTGGGAGTCAGAGACACTCTCTGTCAATATCTGTTTGCGTGTTCACACACTGGACACCAAACAACCCTGAACTATCCGCTGCTTGGAGGAATTTCGCGAGCTCTTGCCCACACGGGTGCTGCACTTGGCTGATCGTTTTCGAGCGGCTGCTGCATCACACGTTGTGGTCCAAATATTTGTTTCCGATTGTGAATGGTGGGAGTCAGAGACACTCTCTGTCAATATCTGTTTGCGTGTTCACACACTGGACACCAAACAACCCTGAACTATCCGCTGCTTGGAAGAATTTCGCGAGCTCTTGCCCACACGGGTGCTGCACTTGGCTGATCGTTTTCGAGCGGTCGCTGCATCACACGTTGTGGTCCAAATATTTGTTTCCGATTATGAATGGTGGGAGTCAGAGACACTCTCTGTCAATATCTGTTTGCGTGTTCACACACTGGACACCAAACAACCCTGAATTATCCGCTGCTTGGAGGAATTTCGCGAGCTCTTGCCCACGAGGGTGCTGCACTTGGCTGATCGTTTTCGAGCGGCTGCTGCATCACACGTTGTGGTCCAAATTTTTGTTTCCGATTGTGAATGGTGGGAGTCAGAGGCACTCTCTGTCAATATCTGTTTGCGTGTTCACACACTGGACACCAAACAACCCTGAACTATCCGCTGCTTGGAGGAATTTCGCGAGCTCTTGCCCACAAGGGTGCTGCACTCGGCTGATCGTTTTCGAGCGGCTGCTGCATCACACGTTGTGGTCCAAATATTTGTTTCCAATTATGAATGGTGGGAGTCAGAGACACTCTCTGTCAATATCTGTTTGCGTGTTCACACACTGGACACCAAACAACCCTGAACTATCCGCTGCTTGGAGGAATTTCGCGAGCTCTTGCCCACACGGGTGCTGCACTTGGCTGATCGTTTTCGAGCGGCCGCTGCATCACACGTTGTGGTCTAAATTTTTGTTTCCGATTG